TGATCCGCTTTGATGAGATAGTAATTCAGTTAGTTCCTGTTATCTGCCGTTGGTGAGCATTTTTGAAATTAATCTTGCTCACCATGCTCTTAGGACCTTGTTGAAAACTTGGTCCCTTGTGATAGTATGCTTGATTTTGGTTGTGGAAGGATGTATAAGGCCTTCCGCATTAGGTCTGTTTGTTTGAGTATTCATCTGGGCATTCATACATGAATGCAAACATGGACATACATGAGCATATACATGGGCATTCATGAGCATATACATGGGCATTCATGCATGCACACATGGGCATTCATGCATGCACACATGGGCATTCATACATGCATATGCGTGCATTCATCCATTCATGATTCTGGGTATCCGAGTGATGTTTATCCGTCTCGGATGGAGTTCCATCTTTTAGTTGGACTCATCATTAGATTCCTTGTTATGTGGTTGTGTTTGATGAGTGCCGGGTCTTGATTTGAGTCAAGGGCACCACATACTTACGCCGATAACTCTCGAGTTTGATTACTTGTGTTAAGGCGTGAAGTTATCTCCCGCCTCCCAAATAGCCATTGGAGAGGGTGGAGATTGAGAAATTGTTGTTGACTTGTTAGGGCAGTGATGAGTACCTAGCCCCTGTAAAGTGAATTTGGTTATTGTACCTTGTAATTGTTAGCCGTGTAGTTTGAGATTGATTTTCTTGTTCTTGTTGTGGTGTGATATCAGAGTGGTGCAGCGGAAGCGTAGTGGGTCATGTTCTGACCATAGAAAGTCAGTGGGGCATCTATTTGGTCTTAGATTGTGTGAAGCCATTCACCAGTCTAGACAATCCTAGATTGAGTTTTGGGGACAAAACTCCTTTTTAGGAGGGGTGGATGTAATATCCCAAAATTTTGGGGGTATTTTAGCATTAAATAAGGGACTTAATTGAGAGAAAATATTATTGAGGGGCTTAATAGCAAAAATTTTCAAAAGTCGAGGGACTAAAAAGAAAGGAAATTAGGATAAGGATCAAGGCTGATATTTCTCTCCTCAGCCACGTGTTTTGCTCATCCTCATCTTCTTCTTTTCCCCGATGCTCTACCCCCCGACCCTCTGCACCCGAGAAGCCCCCCAACTACCGCCACCCATTTCCGGCCGGAAATCCGGCAAAGCTTGGGGATTTCTCTCTCTTTTCTTGTCTTAGAGCACCTGTTGAACCCAGAAAATCCCAGATCTGCGTCTTCCTCCCTCTGCTGTCCGTCGGCTTCAACTTGTGGGTTTGAAATTTCTGGGCATTTTTCGGTAAGAACAGCCTTGAATC